CTTAATTCCAAAAAAAAAAAGAAATTCTCATTAAAATCACCCAAATTTTCATTTCAGTTAAATCACACTCATATGCTGATAAAATCAATTTAAAATCAATTTAAACCTTGCCACCATCTCAAAAATAGTTTAAAATATGCTTTAAAATCAAAAGGCTTTACCATAAATTTACTTACCTCAAATCTGTAATACCGGGAACTCAAGCCAAGTGCTCGAGTGATATAACACTCAAAGAACCTAATCAAAATACCCTAGAATTAATACCGTACTATCACAAATTCAAGGTGAAATCTTCATTAAGATCACCCCTAATCACGATGTTATTCCTATCAATCTCCACATTTATTCTTATATCACAAATTAATCATTTAAATCCCCGTTAATTGTTGGCCATCAATGAATGAACAGTATCGTAAACAGTGCCATAAACAGTGCGTGAACAGTAACTGCACTTCCAAAATTGGCCAAAACACTAGCCAATTCACGCGATTTTTCTCCCTATAAACCACACAGCAACTAAATCAAGAAATTTCTACCTCAACCAAGCTTAAAACGTGTTTTATGCTAGCCAAAATTATCCCATAATTCTAGCACAATCTCGGACAACACAAGCAACTAAATGGACAATACTTAATTGATAATTGGACTTAAAAAAAAGCTGTCGATCATACCAGAAAACTCCGGCAAGTAGCATCGGGTCCGGCTAGGAAGGAAGCCGACGGGGAAAGAAATGGAAGACTCACGGCAACTACCAAATTCAAGAACCCACAACCAAAATTAGAGTAACCCAAGCCAAATTAAGTAAAAAAAGATGAATTCATGGCTGTTGCTTACCCCAAAAACCGAACTCAACCTCCACACAGTAGAGACCGGCGGACAGAGGAGGAGGAGCAGACCAGATCTGGAAAATTCTAGGCTCAATAGGTGTTCTAGAACAAGAAAAGGAGGAGAATTCTCCAAGTTTCACCGGTGTTCCCGGCCGGAAAAAGGGGTGGCGGTAGCTGGGGCTCGTCGGGTTGCAGAGGGTCGGGGGAAGAGGAAGAGCAGGACACGCGGGGGAAGAAGAAAGAAAGAAATGAAAGAGACAAAAAAAAGAGTCAGCCGATCCTTATCCAAATTATTTTCTTTTAAGCCCCTTGACTTCGAAAAGTTTTACTATTAAGTTCATTAATAAGAATCTCTCACAACTAAGTCCCTAAAAATTTGGGGATATTACAAAGTCGATCAATCCAACCGAACCACACCAATCCAATTTAAATTAGATTGGTTTGGTTATAATATAATAGTAGATTACACTAATTTAAAAATTTTATTAACCAATTAATTTGATTTGATTCTAAAAATGTTAAAACTTGAAACAATCGAAACGATGAACACCCCTAGTTCCTTTATTATTAACTATTGAGTTGAAGCTTAAACGCCCGATTTTCACATGATATTAGAGGCCAAGCTCCTTTCTTAGGAAGTCTATTTTTAGCTCACTTGATAAAACCCAAAGTTGATATCTTGCTAATTGGTTTTAAATTGGAGACAAATCTTGTGTTGAAATCCATATGCACAATTGTTGCCTATGGAAAACCAACGCAAAAAGCTTAAACAGCAAGTTTGAAGGGTTTGTGGGAACTATGTTGTGAATTAGATGATATGGAGCAAAGACCATGGGGAAAGCTAAAGGTGCTCAAGGAAACCATGATATTCAAGTTCAAGGTGATAGGTGATAATCGAGATCCCGAAGGAGAAACGATAAAAAACCAATTTATATGTAATCCTCTTAAAAATCAAGATGAAAAGGACCTAGAGGTAAAGTCTACAGGCCAACCAAAAGATTACCTACAGGAAGAAAAAGAAGAAGATACCTTCCCTTATAAACCTAAACCTACAAGGAAATCTAAACATTTAGAGAGAATTTTAATTTCCTTTATTATTATATTATCTTGATAATTTTGAAGATTTGACGATAATGTTGTCTAATATTTCCAACATCCTTTCTTTTTTTCTTTAAGGCCTTTCTTTATTCAATCAACCATTTAATAAGTATTCTTATCTCTGTGGTCATGATGTTGTGAGATATTCTCTTTATACCATGCAATAAAGGAAGTATTGGTTTTTTATCTAATTGGTTGAGAGATTTCCCAGCTAAATCTCTTAGCTCGTTTATTTGTTCATTTTTGGAACCAGTAGAGCTACAATCTTCCATGAATTCCTGTAAAGAATAAGCCATTTCTTGAGTTAGCATAGCAGGCAAATAGTTTATCTCTTCTTTAATGTGCTTCACTTTAAAGCGGAGCTTGAACCATAACTACGATCTTAACAATCTCCTTGCTACATACATTTATCAAGATTGTTTTTTATAAATGAAGCAAAGTTCTTGTTATTAGTTCTTACTAGAAATACTAGAGATTCTCTTGGTGGTAAGATATTTTGAAACTTTTATACCTCTTTTTATTGATGTTGGCAGCTCAAACACTCAAAGAGGGGAGTGAATTGGAGTCTTCAAATTTTCCCTCTTTTTGCAACCACCAAATGAAAAACATAGAGAGGGAAGAAAAGCTTGCACACTTGACACCTAATCCTCTATCTTGGCTTCAGTCACCAAGGATTTCTTCCTCACTCTCCACTAGTGATCAAGAGTAGCTTAAAGGAGCTACTCAATTTGTTTACATAGTGTTTTTCATTCAAACACTCACCTTTACAAGGATCCCCAATATGGCTCACTTGGTTTCTTTCTTAGAGGCTTCGCTCGCCCTCAAGCATCAATTCTTAAAGTTTCATCCACCAGTCACCACCAAAATCACAAAGAAATGGTAGAAAAAAGGATTACTGTAATATCCTAAATTTTCGGGAATTTTATCACTTAAGTTAGGGACTTGATTATGAGAAAAGATTGTTTTGGGGCCTAATATAAATATTCTGAAAGTTGAGGGGCTTAAAAGAGTAGAAATTGGATAAGGATGGCTTATTTCCTTTTTCTCCTTTTCCTCTTTCTGCTCAGCCCGATTCTGCTCTTCTTCTTCTTCCCGCTGCAGCCACCCAAAGAGAAAAAAAAAAGAAAGAGAACCCAGCCATGCCTTTGAGAAACCGGTGAGATAAGCTTGGATTTCTCCTTCTTTTCTTGCTCTACAACACATGTAGAACCCAGAAATTCTTTCCCCTTGCTGGAAATCCGGTTCTGCCCTGCTTTGCTCTGTCCTTCCGCCGGCTGCTCCTGCTTTGTGGGGGTGATTTGCTCCGGTTTTGGGTAAGAAACAGCTACCAATCCCTCTGTTCTTGCTTGAATTAACTTGGGTCTACCTTAATTACTCTTGGGTTCCTTTAATTTTGGGTAGTTTCCGTGAGCTTCCCCTGCACTCCCGCCGGCCTTCCCCAATCTGGTAGCTCCGGTTCCTTGCTTGTAAATTCTGGTATGTGGCAGCCTTAAACCATTGTTTTTAAGCTTGATTAAGGTAGAATTAGCTTGATTAGTTTGCTGCCGTATGATGTCCGAATTTGCCTAAAAATGGGGGATAATTCCGGTAACTTTAGGATAAAGTTTAAGCATTGATTTAAGTGGGATTTATGTGATTGAGTGTTAATTGATTGCTGTGATTTTTGGAGAGAAAATCCCGTGAGATTAGCTAGTGTTTTCGCCAATTTGTGGAAGTCGAGGTTACTGTTCACGTCGTGGTACTGTTCATGGTACTGTTCATAGATTACTGTTCACACCCCGAGAGTCAACGATTAACGGGGATTTAAATGATTAGTTTGTGATATAAGAACGATTTTGGAGATATTTGATCATGTGGAGATTTATGGAAATAGCATTGTGATTAGGAATGATCCCAATGATGATTTCAGCTTGAATTTGTGATAGTCCGGTATTGATTCTCAGATGTCTTGATTAGGTTTCCGATCGTTCTGTCAGTTAGCATTGAGATTGAGTGCTCGGTTTTATGCAAGTGAGGTAAGTAAATTATGGTAACGCCTTTTGATTTTAAAAGCATGTTTTGATTTATTTTTGAAGTGGTGGTGGGACTAAACCCGTTTTACACAAGTATGACTGATTTGAAGTGAAATGTTTTATGCTTTTCACTATATTGAGCATGCCTACTTGAAATTTAAGTGACTGTCGTGATGATCTGAAAGTGATTGTGAATTGTGATTTTCCTGTTAACTTCTGCCTGTTTTGTCTCCGATGTAGTCATGTTATTCGTGACCCTGCTAGTGGGGGAGGTTATAAACGCTAGCACATGTCGACATGTTAGTGAAAGAGCCGGTTCGTTCAACCCAACTAGTGGGGGTTATACACCAGCAAATCGTGGCCCTGCTAGTGGGGATTATACACTGGCCGTGACCTATAGAGGAGACGTCTATTTCGTGCCCGTACTGTATCTGTTTTCGTGATAGTACTTGTTGGCATGCTTTAAGTTTGATAAGGGGCACTTCATATTTACTTACTGAGTTTATTTCATAGTTTTCCTTGTCCACCATTTCAGGAAGTGAAACCGAGGACGGGAAACCACAGGAAGTGACGAGTTAGTAGGCTAGCCATATTGTAATTGGATATGAATTTTAGAAACAAATCATGATCTTGTATTTGGAGACTTTATTGGAGATTTATGATATTAGAGCAAATTTTAAAGATTTGATCTTCAGATTTTGGTGGTATCAGAGTACAGTATGATAAGTTTCAAGCCTTGTGCATTTGTGGGACTCGTTTCACAAGTGTACGGCGTTTGTCGCGCCTTGAATTTGGGTTTTGGGGCGTGACAATTACGAAGGATATGATCTCTTCAAGATTTAATTTGCAAGTGTAAGCTCAAACTCTTGAATTTGCAAATCAAAGCCCAACTCTAGTTGATAAATCTTCTAATATGTATCTAGAGGCTCTCCACTAGCTTTTGCCCAAGGTGTTTACCAACCTTTCTTATGCCTTTCAGGTTGAAACTAGTTGTTTGGAGACATGATAGTGCATTAAATGCATTAAAATATCCATTGCCCAAAATTTTGATCTTCAACCTATAGTCGACTATGGCCTTTTATAGTTGACTCCATGGCATATTTTGTAATTTTTTACAACTCCTTAATTTGAAAGTCTAACCTTTAATGGTAACTAAATTTAGCTATGGTCAACTGTACTGTCCTAAATTCAACTTAATGGTATTCTTGTAATTAATTATGAACTCTTTGTGCTTGGAGTGCATTTTACACCATAGTCAACTATGGTCTCTTAAAGTCAACTCTGTAGCATCTACATTCAACTTTATCTTCCTATAGTCAACTATATGCCACGCCATGAGCACAATTAGGAGATTATGTTTTCTTCATCCAATTTCCTTCTTCAGTTGACTTTAGCCATGTAGAATTGATTCTCACTCTTATTATCAATTGTGTGTCGGATGGTCAATATTTTTCATCTTTTCTAAGTTACTTTTGACACTTTAACAAATTAAAATATTCTACACACTTGCACAAAACTCATTAGATTTTTCATAAGGGTTATGTTATTATCAAATCATTATAGGAGCTCAACAATTATAAGAAATTCTTTCCCAGTACTGTGATATTTTTCTCTTCAGATTTGAATGCTCCATTGACATAAGCATGTAATTCTTCTTTATTTGTTTCCTTTTCTCTGGCTTTTAATATCACACTTCAAATGTTATATAATGCATTTGTTTCTAATATCTTGTAATCCTCATTATTTGGCATATTTAATTTTGGCAAGTTCTTAAGTTTAGATTTAATTTCTTTTATAAGACTCGTGTATTCATCAGTGGATTGCCAATCTTTTTTCTTTTTCAATTCTCATTTTTTCATAATGAGCTTCTTAGTTATGCTAGATGTTTGATATATTTTTCTCTATAGGCTAGAAACCCTAGCATTTCTTTGAAGTTGCTTTTTATCTTTTATTCTATTTGCCTTTATTCTTTTCCAATTTTTTTTTTTTCATAATGAGCTTCTTACTTTTGCTAGATGTTTGATATATTTCTCTCCATAGGCTAGACACCCTAGCATTCTTCGAAGTTGCATTTTATCTTCTACTCTATCTAAAAATAATTAAAATGCCAATTTGGCCCCTCAACTTTTAGATTTATGCTAAAATTGTTCTCAAACTTCAAAAAATATCAAAATTGTCTCTGAGTTTCAATTTTTAGTACCAATGTAGTTCTCAAACTTTGAAGATAATATCAATTTAATCCTTAAATTTTGAAGACAAATACTAGCGTAGTCCTTAAACTTTGATTATAAATACCAATTTGGTTTTTCAATTTTTGATTACATATCAATTTGATATATAAATAGAAATATGTTACGATGGTCAAATATAACTGTTTGATTTTACACGTCATTAGTATTAAAAAAAAAAACTGATTTTGTGGTAAAATAACGAGTTATGTGATACTTCTACTAATGGAAGGACCATTTTAGTACCAGAAATTAAAGTTCAAGGACAATTCTGATGCCAAAAATTAAAGTTTAAGGATAATTTTGGTATTTTTGGAAGTTGAGGGACAATTTTAGTATAAATTTAAAAGTTGAGAGACTAAATTGGTATTTTAATTTTTTTCTAATATATAGGACTAAAGTTTTTTTTCTCCTTGTTCTAAGGCTAAATCTAAAAATACTATCTTGGTTTTTCCTAATTCCATTTTCTTTTCCGATAGGATTATTCCATTATCCTTAAGCTTTTCTACTACCGTCATCAAGTGTTTTAATGCTCTTTTTTAGACTTTGTAAACACTAATATACCATTTATATAGACTACACAAAAATCTGCTTTAGATTTAGTAAACACTAATATATCATCTATGTAGACTACACAAAAATCTTTAAATTCTCTAAAGATGTTCTCCATTTTTCTTTGGAATATTTGCAGAAGTTACATATCCAATTCTTATTACTCTCCAGTCATAATGCCCTTAGGTGCACTAAATGCCATTAATGGAATTTGACTCTTCTGCCATTTTTATTTGCAAACACCTAGAATCAAACTTGCTAAGTATACTTGCTTCTCGAATACTATTCAATAATACTTCTTTATTTGGTAGAAAATAACCATCAAATTTAGTGGTTTGATGAAAGGCCTTGTAATTTATTACCATTGTTGCTTTCCCCTTTTTTATTATATTTCCAAACATAAAGGTTGGCAAATTATGGGGTGAGCTAGAAAGCTATATTAAACCTTTCTTCAAGAGTTCATCTATTTGTTGCTTGAGTTCTTTAACATGGTAGATAGATGGCAGGTTTCATTCTAATGATCCCCTTTGGGTCTACTAATTCTATTTTCGTAGTCACTTTATCCTTATCCCATAACTTTAAAGGACCCTCACTAAAATTCTCCTTTATCTTTGATATTATCTTTTCTAGACTTGGTGTTCTTTCTCAACTAGCTTTAAGGTTTTGGTGCAAATCATGTTCATTAATTTTTGTTATCCAACTTTCATCTTCTTCTTCAAGTTCTTTTTCAATTTTTATACCTAAATTTTCTAGCACATACTCTTACATATTTTTCATAAGTAGATGTATTGTAGTCTTTGGTTGGTCTAATGACTGTTGTGGTAGAAATCCTAAGATACATTTTTTCCCATCTACTTTTAATAGTTTTATACCAACTAGTGGTGCTTCTAATTAAATGTAATCTACATGTCGAACAAAGGGAAGACACATTCTTTAAACAACGAAGTTATTGCCTAATACCATGTCTCCATCTAACTTTGTGTGATGCCCTAAATCCCACATTAGGATGGCAGTGTGAGTATGAGTGATATATAAATGTGGAGAATAACTGCTACTAACAACTTGAACTTAAGTTTCTGAGAGCCTGTAAGACCTTGACTTAAAGAGTTGTTAGGCCAATGGTGGATTTCAGCCTGGGTCACTTCAATTGGTATCAGAGTGGTCATCTTTCATAGGTGTGAGCCCATGTTGATCATCACAGTCAATGATAGTGTGGACTTCACATCACTTGAGGTGGTTCCTATGTTTGTGGTTGAGTAAGCCTTGTTATGATTGTAATTAAGCTTGATGAGGACATCATGTTTTTAAGTCGAAGAAATTGTGATGCCCTAAATCTCACATTGAGATGGAAGTGTGAATGCGAGTGGTATATAAGGGTTAATAACTTGAGTTTAAGCTTTTTAGGACCTATAGACCTTGGTCCAAAGAGTTGGGTTTGACCCCGGTCATTTCACTTTGGTAGTTGCCAAAACTGTTCTATAATAAACACTTGTTCTTCTAGGTAGATTGAGACATTTCTAGCCTTGTAGTGGAGCTCTACTATTTGTTCGTTTACTATTACAAGTCTGCTCCTTTGTCTACTAAAGCATCATTAGTACATAGATGATATCCACTAAACTCAAACTTGAGTTTTGTATATGAACTCTCTCTAGATGTTTTGATAGACTTTACTAGTTCTTTTATTTTTCTTATTTTATCATTATGACATTCATAGATTGACTTTATTTGTGTCTGTTGTTCTTTTAAATGTTGTTCCATTAACAAAGGATGATAATGAGGGTTTCTTTTTCTTAACCAGTTGCACAGACAATCATATTCTTGCACCAAGATATTCTCTCTTCTGTAGGTAATTTAACTTCTCGGTATCCTAGTATTTTGTTATCATTTCTTTCTTCTTTCTTTCTTCAAGGTCCATCACCACCTTCAGATGATCCACCATCGTTTTTTTTTGTCATTTTAATATATTTTTGTAACTTTTCTTCCTAATATATCACTTCTTCTACGCTTCCTGCCTTTTCCCAATTCTCTAGGATTTCTTCCTAAGTTATATTTTCTGCAATTGGCTTTAAATGTTCATGTGGGTCTAATCTGATCCAACACCCACATTTCTTGTTTTCTATAGTTGAGAAGCTTAAACTCTCAAGTTTTAAGATGAGGGATGAATACCCATATGGTTATCAAGTTTGAGAGTGTTTTAGGGGTTTATCCCTTTTTACAGAGGTAACCAACACAAGCTTAAGTAGTTTTGACAGGTAAAACTCAAAAGGAAGACAAGGTTAAGATCTTGAAATCACTCTTAATACGCACGCCTATTGAGACCTATGGCCTTTGGCACCGTGATTACCGTAATTCTTCAAGGTAAACTCTTCACACATGAAATGGCAATGAAAAATATAACCGGGAAAAGCCCTGGTGCATGGACCAAGGATCACAAATAAACCCTGAATTGATTGCAAAGAAAGGATGGAGTTCTGTGCAATTGGAAGATAAAAAAAAAAAGAAGCTATGTTTTTGCATTGATCGGAAAAAAAACTATTAGTCTACAAAGTTGGGAAGCCGACACGCATTGTAGCACCTCTACCATGATTATACACAAGAAACATATGCATCAGCAGAGCAAATATTCGCAATCGAGCAAACGGGAAAATATCTCCTCACAACTTGGTCGTTCATGCGGTTCTGCCCAACAATCTGCATTCAAGAAAACATATCAGACTCTATCAGATATTTCCTGATTGAAATCTTAAGCTTTTTTGGTAAATGTATGGCATTTTATTATAGAAACATACCTGAAATTAGTCTGCCCAGTGGACCTTCAGGAATCTCCAACCGGGATCCCTCATTTGCAACAGCATAAACTACCTGAATAGAGAGCAAAAGGTTTGCGAACTTCAATAGTATGTATTGTCAAAAACTTTGTTTTCTTTCCCTAAGAAATCAAAGCACGAAGCTCAACTCAAAAATATGGACAAACAAGTCAATGAGGGATACTCAAGTGTATTACCCTCTCTGAAGGTACCCCTTCCCATGGTCTATTTAGAGTGCAGAGCTCCCACATTATTACCCCAAGGCTAAAAATATCACATTTTTCAGTGAAAGGTTCATTACGAATAAGTTCAGGGGCCATCCATTCTGGTGTTCCTGCAGAAGAATTATCTCTCATGGGTGTTTCTGTCATTATTCTCGAGAGCCCAAAATCACATATCTTCACAGTCCAATGCTTATTCACGAGGCAATTAGCACTTTTTAGGTCTCGATGAACTATCTTCATCCGGTGTATACACATCAACCCCCTAAAAATGCCAACAGGAAATCTAGTCATCATTTTCCTTGTAGAGAGACAATGCTATGTGTGTTCAGCATTTAGTAAAAATATTGAATACCGTTAGATTGTTAACCATGGCAATGTACTCAATTGCTTGAAATTCTTAAATGATGGAAAACATAACACACCTGCAGATATCACGCAACATTTTTAGTCTCCGCCGCCAGCTTAGCTTCTTTTTCTGACCACTCAAATGAATCAAATAGTACAATGATCCCATCTCCATGTATTCTGTAATCATTGATAACCGTGGTGGCTTTGTACATGCACCCAAAAATAAGATAACTGCAAAACCAGCATCCTAGGTTAACTAATGAGAATGAGTAATAAATAGAAAATAGTTGCACTAGGCATTTTACTGTATCTTGAATTTTTAATTGTCTTGTTTGGACCTGAGGGCACGTAGACATAACAAGTAGAAGGAACAAATCTAAAATCAAAAGTATGACTAGGAAAACAGAAAGAACATACCATTAGGATGTCGAAGTCGACTGTAGGAAGAGAGTACAAACATAAAAACATAGGATAAAGTCAGAAAAATCAATAGATAGCTGAAACTAAAACTTTCAGATCATCAACAAAAAAAATACCTAAGAATTGATATTTCATTGCAAAAGTCTTTCATGTTCTCTGTGGTTAAATCCTGCTCCAAGAATACCTTGATTGCAACATCTGTTCCATTCCATATTCCACGAAAAACTTCGCCAAAGAACCCTATATTACCACAACAAAAATGTGTTATTGGAGTTGGTGAAAAAGAAATTCATGCGTCATGCATACTTTCTGAAATACTAGAAATTCATAAGACTGCCAAACAGAAGGGAAAATCAAACTGCATAAAGAGTATTTAATATACAAGTAATTAAGCTCAGGACACTTTTGAACAGACAACAAAAACTTTCCCCAAATCAGCAAGTTTCTTGCATTGTGGTAATGGTATTACTCTAATCCATTTTAGTTGTTGCTTTGACTTTTTACACACAACTTTAGGTAATGCTTTTATATTGCACATGAATAGCAATCAAATTTTTTTCCTCAAAAGTAGAGGCGTGATAGGAGAAATATCTTTTCATTATCTTTAGCCAATGTTTATCCATATTAAATGATTGGTAATTATGCCAATTAATAAAACCATAAATTTTAGATGCTAAGGGCCCATTTATTAATGTTGCTGTAGTTGGTTTTACTGTTTTTGTTGCCAAAATTTGAATGATCAAATCAAAATTGACAATTAAAAACAAAAATCAAAAATAGAAATCAACTTGTGAAGTATGAATTTTCAAAATTGATAACCAAAATTAAATTTTTTTTAAGTTACTTCTTTTTTAATTTTTAATTTAGTATTGTTACAAAAGCAAAAAACTGACAACGGCAGCAACATCACTAAACAGGCCATAAGTTATCATAATATTGAATCATCATTGTTTAGGTTCAAATGATATTAATTTGCCACAGTTACAACACTTATAAGTGCCATGCACAGGGGACCTTAGAAAGATCACGAGACAGCAGAAAACAAGTACTGCACAGAAAAAAAACTTAACCAGTTATATTCAAAGTGTGGGACGAGCTACCACCACCTAAGGATTAAGCAACTTATCTTCATAGGAAATATAGTACTTAATTATATCATTAGGTCGTATTATGCTCATTGTACAAAATTGGTTTAGGATATATACTATTAACTACCTCATCTACTTCCCTATTTGGTGTTGGACTAGGGTTACTGGAACTAATATGTAGTGTTGTTATGACACTCTGGGTTATATTTTGATGATTGAGAATTGTCCCAACCCCATTATTCCTGTTCTCCTATTATAATTCTTCCCCTTTCTAACAAAATTCTTTTACTTTTTTCCACTTTCCCTATTGTTCTATTGTTCATTATGTGGTGGTAAGACGCTGCTTGGTAGAATCACACCAATAGAACTGTGGTAAAATAAAAATAATGCTTACCAATTCCAACACGAGTTCCCACAGTTAACTCAGAGAAATCAATATTCCATTCTGGATAAGGGAATAGAGGATTGTTATTGAACATTTGAGATTCAAGAACTTTTCTCCAAGTTGAGACCATTTCATCATTGGGTACATATTCTGAGGGTCCACTTCTTTTTGAGGTATGACTCCTATATGTGTGTGGGGATGAAGGCAATGACATAGCTTTCTGAGAATTGAGCTGCTCCCTGGTAAACCTCCCAGTGGATATACCATCATCATCAATATCAAAACTTGATACCTGAATAAAGGAGAAAGGATTAAAAACCAAAAACTTTAAGAAGGAGAACTTCATTAATTTATCTAGCCACTAAACACGTGAACTGGAAGCAAGTGTAGATACAAGATAAATAAAACATACGGTTTGCTGAAGACTCAAATGCTCATTTCTGTCATTTGAAGGATGAGCAAAAGACTTATCATCATTCCTCTCTCTCAAAAGGCGATTTTGCTTCAAGGCTTCATTCATTGCTCGCACAGCCCTGAAATATTTCTCAAATATCATTAGTTATATCAACATTCAATTAAAGAATGTTCAATAAAAAATCAACCATCTACAAAAAAATGTTTCCAAAATGAATGCAAATGTGGCATATGACATGACTACATGCTGGAACACAAGCCCACACTTGATACATGCACTTCTGAATCAAAACCATGGTAACACGAATGTCATCAAACCGGGAATGACTTCATAGATGAACTGGATTAATATTTGAACTAAGAAGAATATAGGAGAATCTCAATGGTCCTAGAGGAAGACAAAAAGTTCTGAGGAAATAAAATTATGTTTGAGCTAGGTTAAGACTAATTGCTCCTATGAGTTCTCATTCCCTGGAATGTCAATGTAACAAAGAAAAAGAATAGGCAGTGTCATCGAAAATTTAAAATCTAAACTAAAGACATTTCTTGAGATGACAAGAAAAGTTAAGTCTAAGTGAGTTAATCAGTAAAAAAATAATAAGCCAAGTTGGAATGAAGCATAAAGTGTGCTGCTTAAGTACAATACTATAGAAAACTGAAGTTAATTACTCTGTAAGGGTCTCTGCCAATTCTGGAAGCAGAAACAAAGAACCTTGATTGAATACATTCATCTTTAAAGAATAGTTACATAAATCTAAAATGTTTAGCGTTGGCCAGAAAAAATTCTAACTTTTAGTGGTTGTTTGAAGAAGCTCCACAGTTTTCAGTAAGCTCCTTAATAACTACTTGACCACTTATAGAAAAGGACAAAAGAAGCCCTACAGTGTAGATTTGCTTGTGTCATAGGTAACACCAAGTTCATGCAATACATGAGACAGATACCCCTGATTCTATGAATTCAGAGATCAGCAGATATGACGTCAAATTCCATATATTATTTTAACAAATGATAGATGTAAGACTGGGGATTTAACATTTTATTAGGCCATATTGGCCAGGCTCCCAACACCAACATAATGGAACTCTTACTTCAAACTATAAAAATATAAGTGCAATGTCGAAAAAAACTTTACGTGATTAAGTTGGTTATCGTGATCATGAGCAAAGTTTTCAAATCCAAGAAGATTATAAAATGATTTTTATCCATAGAAGATATTCCACCAATTAAAGAAACGAACAAGATAAAGCAGCCGGAACGCATATCATTGAACCACTAAGTCAGCCAATGCTAAAGGGCACCTAAAAAAATAAATAAGATGGTAATCTTACACAGATAGAGCCAGAAGAGAAATTAAACTGAAAACAAAGATAGAATAGCATCAGATACAACTGAAGGGCATGAGACAAACGTCAACCTTACGATATCATCACCAATCTCAGGGGTCATACTAATGCTTCTTCTTCTTATTCTACGAGCTTCTGATGTTGATGCACCATCTGATCTATAGCTACAATCACAATTCAAAGATAAAATGATCTATCAGCATAGAACACAATGGCTACCAGTTCTACAGAACCAGAAAGAGGTGAAAAGGAAATCAATAATCATCACATACAAGTAAATTCAAAACTCAAACACTAAAGGAAGATAAAAAGATATTTTGAATAAAATGGTGTACATAATAAGATGTTTGCCAATGCACAAAAAAGAATGGAGTTCATGTCACAGAAATTAGGGTGCAGATAAAAATGCTCCTCAGTGCCTTATTTTCATATTTGTGACACAATTACAGATAAAGTAATGACCATACACGGAACTTTTTCCCCACCAACCAGCCACCCTAAGCCAGAAGGGATGAGACTTTACAATGAAACATGAAGATTTTGAGGTAAGAAAGAAAATTCAAATAATATATGAATGCAATGTTATCACAAAATAATAATAATAATAATAATAATATGAATGCTATTCCATTCTTCAACAGCACCCAATAATATGAAAGGAATATAATACTATTGATTGGCAATTTTTAGAAGCCATTTTTTAAATAGTTTAATTTCCCAGGAGTATGTCTTAGATGGGTCACAACTTGCATTACAACTGCAAGGTTCACTATCATGATTAATGGGAGGTTATTACATGGTTATTTTCCAAGCAGAAGTGACTTAGGCAAGATGATCCTATATCACCTTACCTTTTGTCTTAGGGGTGGAATACTTGTCCAGAATCCTCAAGCAGTTGAGCAGTGATGGTTTTCGTTCCATACAAAGTGTAGAAATTGAAATTCACTCATTTATGCTTTGTAGATGATATGATGCTGTTTAACCAGGCTGATCTTTCATGATTCATCACCAATGCTACTAAAGAGCTTTCCAAAATTCTGGCTTAAAGGTAAGAACACAGAAGTGTCAAATCTTGTTTGAGTGGCGTTATTGATGATATAAACTAAAGGTCATTGCAGATTTTACAATTTACATAGGGAAGATTGCCAGTGAAGTATCTTGTGGTTCCTTGCTTGAAAGCTTACACTGCAAGCCAGTTGTTAAGAAGCTCCAGAAAAAGATTAATGAATGGAGCAGTAGATTGTTATCCTTTGTTGGAAGAGTACAATTGGTGAACTCTGTACTTTTCCCTTACCAGGTATTCTAAAGCAATTGTTTTATTGCTGCCTAGTGCTGTGATTAAGAAAATTGAGGTGCCATGTAAGAATTTTGTGTGGAGTGGACAAGTAGAGCAGAAGCACCTGTCATTTGTAGCTTGGGATTAGCCTTCCAAAAAATGAGGGTAGGCTAGGGATAAAGCAACTGGCTGCTTGGAATAAAACTGCTTTGGGAAAAATTTGTGCTGACACAAATAGCCCTCGGGTTCGGTGGGCACAAAATGTCAATGTGAAGAATAGAAGTATATGGCAGGTTTCAACCACTAACGACAGCACCTGGAGTTAGAGGAAAAAGCTCGAGCTACGACATAAGCTTCAAAGAGCATGTTAAAGTGGTAATTGGAGATGGGAGACACACTTCGTTGTTTTATGATGACTGTTTACTAACGGGCAAGCAAGATGAAATTCTGAACCTTTAGTACAGCAACTATGATTGGGAAGAAAGCATTATGGTTGTTCATTGGAGGAAGGAAATCAGATGGCACTTTGAACATTCCACCAAGTTTCCGCAGAAGATTCTCTGAAAGTCTGAGGTGGCCAGTGTGATTTAGAGGCAAGTGATGAATTTGGAAGATAGAACTAAATGGATGTTGACAAGGTCCAGTATATTTTCTATATTTCTATCTCAAGTTACCATAACTTTATTAGACTTAGAAAGCAAAAGGTAGCTTGGCTAGACTAATTTTGGTCTGGTAAAAGGTACCTAGACACAGATTTTTTAAGTGGCTTCTAATGCTGAACTGGCTGAAAACAAGACAACTGCTTCATACAGGGATGAATGCTGAAGGAAACTGTATAATTTGTCTGCATAATGATGAGATCTGTCAGCATTTATTCTTTAAAATGTCTTTTTGGTCAATTAGTGTGACTGACAGTGTTGCATAGTCTTGGTGTGAAGAGACAGCCACAGCCATGGATGGAATCAAGAGCTAGCCTGGTTACTAAAAGCTTGTAAAAACTGGAAATATTAGAGCTAGATCAGGCAAGCCTTATCTGTAACAGTGTATGTGATTTGGCAGGACAGGTATCGAAAGGCTGTTCATATAATAGAGACATGGAGAGTATTTGCAGAAGCATAGTTCATATGATTACTAAAATGCCACCTTGACATCTTCTCATTGATTGTTTGATCTTGTTTCCTAGGTTTTTTTAAGAGGACTTTTCCTACGGATGCGTAGAAGTAGATTCTAAATTCCCCTTTTTTGGGGCATTTTGAAGTAATGCATTACTAACTATTCTCCTAGAAAAATTTTTCCATTAATTACTCATGTAATTACCCATAGTTAAAGCAATAATTAAGAGGATTGCCATTGAGAAAGATATAGGAAATGCTATCCCTTGTAGTCCCCCCACCTCTCTACCACAAAAAAGAAAAACCCTTTAGAGAAAAATAATAGGAATTAAAAGGAGTGAGTGGATTATTAATCCATGACCTTTCACAAAGATGTAATGCTGTCACTTAATAAGCTAGAAAAGACCATAGTCAAGAGAATGGACCAGTGACCTTTCACCAAATATGTAATGTCCAATTATAATTTCAAGAGGAGATCTTTAACTAAGCATATTCAGCTGAAGAAGACAGGAAAAAAAGGGGGTTACCAGCCAATTAAGTATTTAAAAAAATAGAACATCACTTGCAAAAAAAGGATCAGATAGCATAGAAATTATCCAGAGAAAAAAAAAAAAATCCATTCCAATCAACTCAACCACTTTTAGAGCATACCTTTTGGCTGAAATAAGTATGCACCAAGTGCATGGTAAGGACAGCACAGAATATACACTAACTTCTTGCAGAAATTGGATGTTTGAACTAACTTTCAACCAGACACAAGATTTATTTTTCAAATATATGATTCAACAAAAGGATAAATGAGTAAGAACCTTGATGTAGTAGCCTCATCACCAAAATCTCTAAGTGAATTCCTGTCACCACTTAAAATGGACCTTGCACGTGCTTGAAATGATGGATGCTCTGGACTGCAAAGCCATAAAGAAGTTTGACAATGTATTTAATTTTAGAAATTGATAGATTTTGAGATGCATGCTATTTTTACGAACCATGCAACAACCAACTAAAGATATCCATGACAGTTGACAGTATACCAATAACTTGGATGAATCCTACAAACAACACTGTGAAAGAAGTCAATGTTACATGAGACGAGGAGAAAGAAGCTCTAATTATCATTTTTTATAGCAACTATAAAGCTAAATACTAGAAACTAAAAGGAAATACTTGCTTTTTGGCAATAAGTGAACCAAAGAGTAAAATCATAAACATTCAGTACATTCAAAAAAGAGATCACTTCAATTTCAACCAAAATTTTGACAATGAGGCTTCTCACTCATCATCTAACAAATGAAAAAACCAGGGGTCAAAAGAGTTTTCCACCTAAAGTCCTAAAACGAAAACTAAGCAACTCATCCTTTTCAACGGTTTATTTGAGCCTAAGCTGTTATGTCTTAAATTTTTAAACACAATCACACGTCATGCTATTACACCATTTGCAATTAATCTTACAAAGAACTGTGGATCACAGAAAGAAAATATTGAAACAAAAACCACCATAAAATGCCAATTACAAGAAATGTTTCTGACTTGCCTACACAAACTGTATGAAGGCCCTGTTACATTGTGCTATCTTCAAAAAAGGGGAAAAAAAAAGGGAGATAGCACAATGTAATAACCAGTAAGAACTAAATGAAGGCCCTGTTAAATGAGAATTGAGATGGAAGATCCCATTGATTAAAAAAATATGAGACCTGGTTGAAATAACCGGAAAGCTTTACACAAATAGAACTAATACTTGTAAATAAATTACAAATATGCAACGTAGAATGAGAAAAATCAAAACTTAAATCTTAACTTTATTTTTTTGGACTTACAAATCCGAACAGTAAAAGGACATAAGAAAAACCTGGAACTAGCAGTTCGCTGTTCAACAATGACCTTTCTCCGACTACGTCGCCAAAATGCAGTTGCAATGTTGGGTTCACTATGTGAAAGGCTGAAGGAAGAAAAATTAAACTTAATAACGTATTGCAGTTTGCAATATCTTGTAGAAAATAAATGAATGATTTGAGAAAAGAAAGGAAAAGAGGCTAGTAGAAAACTAAAGCAAACTATCACCTTAACTTCCTATCAATAGACATATTAGATCGCAGCATCATATTCCGCAATGAAGGACCAGATATATTTGCACAAGCATCTAATCTTCCATGGAACTGATGGCCCTCTTCTTTATCAGCACTTTGGAACACCAAAGAAGATAAAACAATAAAAGTCTAACTCATGCAAAAACATAACATAGATCATTTCGAAAGGAAAATCAATTCAGAATACAATTCAATCTTTCACCAACCTGTCAGGATCAACTCTCTCTGAAAATCCATATAGAGGACTATTTGGCTCCAGGGGAGAATCACAAGAGTCATTCTCAGCAGAATCACTCTCCCCAGCTGCTGATATGTGGGTCATAAAAATAGCTTTTGTTGAACGTGGTATCAGCTGACCTGGAAACCGCATAAGATCAACCAGTAGCTCCACAGAATTCAACACAACTATTACAGACATATGCTTATATGAATCTACGCACTCAACAGCCCCATCATTTGGTAAACCCTGAAAGAAGGGAATGAGAAATATGCACCTTCCAATTACAATATTATCATTAGGAATCAAAACCTCTTTAACAACTTCAACTTAAATAAAATGAAATTTTACCTATTCAAGAGGGATAGAGAAAAACATCCCTACCTAATTATAAAATTAAAGCTGCTTACCAGCATGAGGCTACTTTCAAGACCTACAGTATCTGCCAGAACTTTAAACAAAATTGCTCGAGGACGACATGAACCATGCCTTATTTGCCCCAACATTTGGACCCCTCGATTCTCAAAGATATGGGAGGTTTCCTCTAGTGCAGCTTTTGCTGGACTTTCTAGTGTTGGCCGTTTATAGAAATCAGAAACCTACTCAAGGAATACAAATAATTTAATAAGAGACTCATTCCTTGCAACATAAATTTAAAAAAAAATAAAATAAAAAAAATTAAGCATTGCTGAAAAAAATGAAAAATACACTGCCAGGATAGATGTTTAACACTAACAAATATTACAACAAGAAGAGTAAATAACTATCTTGTCCCACTGTCCATGGATAATAATCGCTGGTTTTTAACCTAAAAGACATGTAGTTTTAGTTAATGAAAAAATCTGAAACTAGATCTACAATCTTTTATTTGTTTTTTAGGGGCTTTTGCAATAATCAGATCTGGAATTACAGAAATTAGAATTTTAATTAAGGCATCTCTTCCTTCCGTCCTTATCGCATATACAAACAAGGATGCCTGCATTTGGCTGCATATATTTTATTCTCTACGGTCCACTTCTCAAACCCCACCATCTCTTCTACAGGTCAGACATTCTTCGGACAGGATTTCCCACAATATTCGCACCACAAACAAATGTTCATGTAAGCATTGTCACTTCAAATACACAGCCAGCAAAAGGCAAAACTTCTTACAATTATAGTAGAAAATTGTTTTAACAGCAGAAAATAGAGCACAGAGAACTCTCACCTTAAAAAGTCCACACCTTCAAAGATAGGGAAACATGCATGAATAACCATCCTTGATGTTTGCAAATGCAACAAACTTAGTTTAAAAACATGAGAAAGCATGTCCCAAACCCTATGAAATGATGGCCAAAAAAATAAATAGCAAACACTCTCGCTCTGGGTCTACATAAAATTACAATGTAAATGCTTTAAAAATGAAAAGAAAAACATAGTAACAAAATTATTGATAGTGCACAAAATAAGCAATGAAACATATAATACAGGAGAGAGAATGGGAGGGAAAGAAGAGGTGAAGGAAACATTTGTACAAATGCATGCTACTTAAAATGAACTAAATACATAAGAGAAAACAAAATATCCAGCTCTTCTTACCAATCCTGCTATCTTTTTAATCATTGCAGCTGGATTTGAGTTCAATCCTTTTACTAATGCCACAATCAACTGCTTCAGCATTGATAGCTTCTTATCTTTTTCAGCATCAACGAGAATGATATCAGCTTTAAAACCATCTCCACCCAGAGCATGAAGCTCATCCAAAGTAGGAATACGATCAAAACTATCCTTGAGTCTTTTATCCTACATGTAGCAACGTTCAAATTATAACTAAAAAAGTCTGCAGTAAAATATGACTTTGACTGCAAGCATATAAAAAAGCACAAGTGATGTTCAAACTATAATTAAAAAATGCCTTTCAGGAAAACATGTCTTTCACTTCAAGCATATAAAAAGCATCCCCAATCCCCACAAAAAGGGTTTTTCCTAGCAATCTTTAGTTACCAAAAATGTAGGAACATAAAACCCACCTTTCAATAGGTAATCTGAAATTATTGCAGGAATATAAACTAGATATCTACTGTTCACTATTATTTCGACAAAAATCACCATCAAAACCCTTCAACCACCCGCCTTTCTCATTCATCATGGATTATAGACAACACATTATTTTACAATTTAAAAAGACAATTAGACATGCATGTTTATGTTCTATAAAATTAAATATATAATTTATACATAGAATACGTTGAACTGGAATTATGAGTCCATGCCAAGTAAAAAAATAAAAATAAATAAATAAATAAAAAATAAAAGAAGAAGAAGAAGAAGAAGAAGAAGAAAGGTTCATGTTTTTAGAAGAAATTTAAGTTTACTTCCTCAACATCTCCTAGAAGAAACATAACATGCATTATGGTATGTAATCAAATCCTCCTCAAAAGTAATTTAAGCATGTTTCTTGCAAAGATTGGTAGATCACTTTTTCTTTTGATATGGGCTACAAAATGGGAAGTAAACGTTACCTTTAATTCCTCTTACCTTCCCCTCCCTGGTTAAGACAAGATTAAATCTCAGGTCCTAAATACAACAATCCAAATACTTAACCAACTCTAATTGTTGACAACTTAGTCCAGGTTGTAGACATAATTTGGTTAACCACTCCTTGTGTCAGCATGTAACAAGGTTAGTCAAGACATAGATACTTAATTTGTTTTTTTAAACAAGGACATAAACATTATGAAGAATCTCTACCATAAAATTTTATTAAAAGAGCTATTGATGAAAAGAGTTCAACACATTCACCATCAAGGTCTTCAGATTAAAGGTATTACGGTAGTCTTGGGAAAAACAGCCTTATACTCGTGGATCCAAACAAATGAATCAAAATTCTTGGGAACTAAAATGCAAACCAAATAGATTTACATGTCAGAGCTTTCATTCCTAAGAATCAGGGCTAGATGGCTAGTTATTTCGGATGTAAATCTAGAATAAGTAGTACCAATCAAAACATGTCAGACACAAAGAAGCAAGGACATCTTATTAGTCCTGAAATGAGGTTGCATCTTCAATGCAATACACCAAAGTGAGAAAATGAATCAAAATAGTTAGTCTGTATCAGCCATACAAAGGTTACCATGTACTCAAACTATTATATAACAAAATAGCTAGCATATTAGTACCATAATGACTGTTTTTGATGAATTATCCCGTATTCTAACAAAATATTGGAAGGAATCTTTTCCCTTCACTGATTGTATCAAAACTTTCTTTGAAACCAATAGAGTAAAGATGCAAGGCCATAGATAATTTTGATGAAAAGATGATCCACTTCATTCTAGAAAACCAAAAATTTTCAATTTGCTATTTTTGAGAAGCATGTCTTTCAACTCAGACTTTATGTTCTAAAGTTTACTGCATTTCTCAATCATATTTTAGATGAATAAAGACAGTCAGGACCAAATTTTACAACGAATTTATGGTAGCCATTGATCATGGTGTAGAACTAAATCAAAAGTTGAAATAATTTTCTCTCAAATTTTGGTCCCAAGAATCATTACTCATTTTAGATTCAATCATATAAACAACAGCCTCCTACTCATCTTCAGATTAAACATTTTCCTTCAAATAACAATTCCTAAACAACCAAATTATATATCAAAGCTGCTACTTGTAAAATTATAGCCAGACCACAGCCTATCCAATCATATCTAAAAATAATTCCAGATGCTTGGCATCATATTTAAACATACAACATATTTTTAAACAAACTAGCAGACATGCAAGAACTGTTCCATGCTAAATCTCTACTGGCTTTTAAAAATGAAGAAAGGACTTCAAAATTCAAATGCAGATCATCCAATAAGTTTTATCTGTGAAAAGGAAGAAATACATACAAGAATGGAGTGGAATGCAATTTGAAATCCAGCTAGCCAAATAAGCACCAAAACCAACAGTATAAGCATTAGTTATGAACAAATAAAATTCAACTCTCACCAGAACGACAGAATAGAAACCATTTGGAATTGGTTCAGAAAGCATTCCAGTGCTCCACAGAATCTGCGAAGCTGTTTGAGATGGCAATCCATCTTGATATTCTTTACTACTCAAACTCTCTTCATTAGAACCCAAGGAAACAGACCCAAATTTTTCCACAAAATCTGAATGCCACCATGTTGCAGCAGAAGGCCCTCGCCCTCCTGGCACCGTATCATCTTGTAACTCCTCCATCTCCTTAAATACATTAAATGCAAAACCATTTCGCCCCTCCACCTTAACCCATAAATAACCGTTGCAATTTAGAAAAAATAATTCTCAGGCAACAAAACATCCAACAACAACCTTCTTTTGCAATAACTTGTATAAGCTGGAGGCCATCTGACCTGCAGAGCAGACATCTAATAGTGAAAAACTGGCTTCTAAAACAGAAAGCAACATATTGCAGTTGCATAGCATCATTATTCATTCAACAATCATCTACAAAAGAATTCAGTAATATGATTCATATCAAATTCATTATCATTATAATCGCAACTTAAATCCAAATCCTATTTCCTCGAAATCAAAGACAAACAATCTAAGTCAGAAAAATTAATTAAAAACAATTCAGATCAAATTAGGAGATCTAAGGATGAACCAGAAGAGACTGATAAAATCCAAGCGCAGAATACTAGACCAGACCTGAGTCCACTGAATCGAATTACCAAAAAAAAAAAAAAAATCGCAATCCAAAGTAGAAGAAAAGATTCAATCAGAACAGAAATTTTCCGAAGACAGAAAAGAATTTGAAGGAGGGATTTACCAGCAGCAGATCCGAATCCGCAACGAATGGCATTTGAAATTCAACTACTTCCTTCATAAATTGGACCCATCCAAAGGGAAAAAACAAATTTTTATTAATTTAATATTTTTTTCTCTTTTTTTTTTTCTTTTTTTATTTTATTGGAATCACTGACCGAGAGAAACGAAAGTGCAACCTGCAGGGAACCAAGGGCAGGAGATGTGAACGACGGAGTCGTGAAAGCGATTGGGATTTTACTTCAGAGCAATATAGGGGCACTCGCTTTTTGCACTCTCCGGCCAGCACTTCCCCTTTCATGGGGCCACGTAAGCTTCTTTAAAGCTTCCAGGGATTTCTCGGGAACTAAGATAACGTGGCCCAATAAAAAAGAAAGTGCTGACTAGAGAGTGCGAAAAGCGAGTGCCCCTAGCATCGCTCTTTTACTTCAACCTTTTTTTTTCTGTCATTTTTATATATTCCCGATCTTATTTATTATCTTTCATATTTTTTTTAATTTCATCTAACTCATTTAACATAATGGAAATCTTTTCATTTTATAAAAAAAATTTACTCTTTGAATTATATTTCTTTTGATTTTTTAATCTTAAAATTTATATTTATCCTAAAAACAATTTTTATTTTTATTTTGTTAATTTCTTTAATTGTTCTAGAACTTATGCTCTACAAACTTTATAAACATATCTATCCCATAGTAACTCATCTCTATAGGATATCCATTTTTTCCTCTACTATAATGTTTGTTATAATATCAATCTATTGATAACAAAACCTTACTTTCTTCCATTCTTAACAACATTGTTTTATGGCACTGATATTGATACCAAAATTTTTCTGGGTTTTTTGAAACCTAACTCAAACTACAGTTTAATGTGTAGTTGGTATATTAAGCTCAATAAATATAAAATAAAGGCCATTCAGTTGCTAGTAGAAATAAACTTGGCTTAGGGTCTGTTTGGTACAGCGGTTAAAATTCAACGAATAGCAGGTAGCGGGTAGCGGGTAGCGGGTAGCGGGTAGCGGATAACGGATAGCGGATAGTGGATAGTGGTTGCTGGTAGCGGGTAGCGGGTAGCGGGTGGCGGTTAGCAGATAGCTAAAAGTGAGTAGCGGATGGTAAATAGTGGATTCGATAAATATAACTGTTCGGTTATACAATAGTTAGCGGTTGTTGTTTAACATTAAATGACTAATAAGGACATGTTTAAAAACAAATAAGTGTATTTTTTAAAATATTTTTATTTTTT